TCACCACCAGCAGCAGCATTCTCATCATCTGTTTTCAGTGCCTGGAATTATTTCACCGAAGCATGTGGTAAATGAAGCGCTGAGCCCAGCAAACCGATTTGCATCAGTACCTCTGGCATCTAATGTTTATTTAAAATCGAATTCTGATACAGATCGCAATGACTTTAGTATCTGCAGGCCAATAGTAATTCCAAAGCCACTGTTGATACCACCGGCATCGCTGTCGCAGCTACAGCTAGCTCCAGCACAAAAACCGCTTGCGCTAACATCGGCGACGTCAGCAGCTCAGATTGTCCACGAAAACAGGGCAGTTGCAGGAATAAAAGGAAAAGAAATTAACTGTACTGGGACGACGCCAAAAACGAACATAATTGCAGTTAGTGATGGTGGAAGCGCTGCCTCGTCGTGTAGCGCAAAAAAAGCACGCAATTGCTCGACTGATCCGGAATATTTGAGCAGTGATGCAACCGGCAATGGTTGTGAGCAATCATCCACAGCCGGAAGTCTTGGCACCTCCGAAGCACTATCGTCGCCAGCCGTAAGCAGCACCACCGAAGCAGAAAATGAAATAGTTGAGCTGAAGGTTAAAATTGATTATCTGTATACGAAACTGAATGAGATTCAGCAGAAGCATGAATCTCTGGATCAGCATCATTCTAGATCAGCGTCAGATTCTCATCAGTGCAGTGGTGATGGTGGAAGCAGTAGTGCTGCTGGTAATGGCAGTGGCAGCACTAGTTCCAATGAAAATAGCACCAGCAACAGTTTTAATGGATGCAGCAACAGCGGTGATAGTAACAGCAGCAAGAATAATACCAGTAGTAGTAGTGGTTATAGCAATAACGGCAGCAGCAGTACTAGTAGCAGCAGCAGTAGCAATAGCAACAGCAGTAATATTAGCAATAGCAGCGGTAATAACAGTGATATTAGTACCAGTATTAATAGTAGTAGTAGTAGCAGTAGTAGTAAAAGTGGTAGTAGTATAGGCAGTGGCACTTTTAACAGCAGCAGCACTGATAGGCT